CCCCCAAGGACACATTAGTCCAGTGACTGTCTCAATCGATAGCTTTACTATCCTGGATTTCACAGACAGAAAAACTTTAACAAAACAAAACCTAACAACAGCAACGTAAAACATTTTTGAAAACCCAAATGTGTGTGTGGGGGGGTGAGAAACAGGCAATATATACAAATTTAAAATGGGTCAAAAGGAAGAAAAGGACACTTTCCAAGGCAGATCGAAAGGTGTGAAATTTTAACCTAACTGCATCTGCAGTAGCCCACTTTCCCCATGCTAAAATCCACGCATTTTTTCCAGCTGTCCAGGGGACGGCCAGCCCTGTAGAGAGGAGCTGTGCGATCTGAGCTCCTTCAGCCGTGGCCCCGAGACCCCCCTGGGAAGTAAGTGAACCAGAGCCTGGAAGACAGGTGCTCCCGTTTCCTCGGCGGGAGGGCAGGTTGGTACTTCTTATCTAGCTGGTCAGCTGGCAGCATGGGCATTTTGCTGTTCAGCCCCAGCAGTCTCCTCCTAGTGGTGTAGCCAATGCAACTGCCCCTAGAAGTGGGCAAGGGCACAAGGGCTTTACACAAGCTGTTAGTGACAGTGGTCATTGTCATGAGCAGCCACACCAGCGCGCTAAGCAAGCTGTGGCAACCGCTTATCAGAAGTCAGCATGGCGGTCACCAGATAGCCAGCAACAGGATGCACAGCTAGCGTGCCGTCCAGACACACAGCAGCCTGGCCTCAAGCCGGCAGAGTGTGCCGCTGCACGCCCTCCCTCTGACCTCTGCTTCCCACGTGGGAGCCCGGACAGCAGCAGCCCCCGTCCCACTCGGCATCCCCTCAGTCCGCGTTAGAGGGGCACCGGAGGAGGTGCCGGGACCCATGCTCAGCTACTAACTGAGAGGCTGTAAGTTCAAGTCCACCCACAGGCACTGGGAAGAAAGGCCTGGCAGGCTAGTAATGAAAAATCTGCCATCGACAGCCCAGTGGAGTCCTGTCCTGCTGTGGCACACGAGGGGTGCACTGAGCCAGCGCTGACTTGGCGGCAGCTGGACCGGGCAGTCGGACGGACGTGGCCTGGCCTTCAGTGAGTTTACAGTCCAAACGGTGGCAAGCTTCAAAGCAGAGCAGCCTCCACACCCCACCTCCCCACACCCACTCATTCGTTAGAGGTGCACAGGAGGGAGGGTTACGGTCGGCCACCCCTGACCCTGTGACTCTGAGCCTCTCTCGGTGCCTTCAACCATA